CCATCTTGTAATAATCTTGAATGAAACAATCAAAATAGTGCCTCCCAGTAGTACCCCAAGAAATGCAATTTACTCTACCTTCACAGGTAGGAATAGAGGAAATATCATTCTTGACAGTAACCGAAAAATTACTCGGGATATTCAAATTACCATTAACCAAGAGGGAATCCAGCCTAGTATAATCAGAGTAAAGAGAGGTATTGGATTGAAAATCAGAAAAATTCTGAATGCTTAAGCCGTTATATCAAGGATCCCAAAGAAGATTAATGGGGATGTTCTGAGTGGCCTTAAAATGGAAGTTGGGCCTAGCTCTCAAAGCAGTAAGACAAATGCTTTTCCTCATAGCAGAAGAGGATGATGTATGAGGCTTCCAGGGAGAACAGTGATTAGAGAAGAACCATTCAGATAGAGGTGAAGCCGTCATATAAATTCTAAGAATAAGAGCACAGTCATAAGCGTAACGAATGGCATGAAAAGCCGGAATACTAAGTTGCCCTTTGTTTTTTGGTTTACAAGTATTAGCCCAAGAAACCATATGAAGCTTTCTAGTCTCAATATTTCCAAAGTATAGGAATTTTGCAGAGAATTTTGCAAGATGCTTGCAACAGGATTTAGGTATTATAGCCCCACGAATCCAGTATGCTATAGTGTTCCATATAGTATACCTCAAAAATTGTAGCCTACCTGCAAAAGATAAATATTTCGCTTTCCAACCCGAAAGCTTGTTAGAAATAATATCTAGAAGGGGAGAGAAGTGCGATATAAGAGTTATTTTGGTGGATATATGGATTCCCAAGTATGTGAAAGAATTGCAAACTTTGTGGATATTAAGGATATCAGCAATGGCATTGCTACAAGGAGAGTTTTCTTGCATAATGATATTGCTTTTTTCAGGATTAACCACAAGCCCCGATGAATGAGCAAACTTTTGGAGGATGTCTTTAAGAATCTGACAGTTCATCTCAGTAGCCTTTCCAAAAACAATGACATCATCTGCATACAATAGATGGGAAATTTTAAAAACATTGATATTGACAGGTTTGAAGGATTGCTCACTATTCGGTTTATCTAGAAGACTAGATAAAGCATCCATAGCAATACAGAACAAGTAAGGGCTTAGGGGGCAGCCCTACCTCAATCCAATAGTAGAAGGATATTCCCAGCCAATTGGCCATCCATACAAATAGAGATATTTACTTGTGAGATGCAAGATTTTACCCAGTTAATAAATAAAGGGGGAATACCCTTTTGCGCCATCCTATCAAGCAAAAATTCTCTAGAAAGAAAATCAAAAGCCTTTCTTATATCAAGCTTAGCACACATGTAAGGATCCTTGGTGCATTTCTTAAAGTACCTCAATAGCTCAGAGGCTAAAATGACATTGTCAGTCAAAATCCGGTGTTTAATGAAACCGGCTTGAGCCATGTCAATGATGTGAGGCATAAAACCTTTGAGCCTGTTAGAAAGAATTTTTGAAATAATCTTGTACAAAGTATTGCAAAGAGAGATGGGCCTGAAATCTGAAATAGAATTAACATGAGAAGTTTTAGGAATTAAGAAAAAAGCAGTTGTCTTAACCCCTGAAGGAATATATCCTTTTGAAAAAAAGGAACGAACAGCTTTGCATAGGGAGGGGCCAAGAATGTGCCAGCCTGACTTGAAAAATGGAAATTGAATCCGTCAGGGCCAGCGGAGGAGGAAGAAACCCCAGAAAAAACAACATACTTGATCTCAGCTACAGAAATGGGCATAGTGAGAGTCATAAAATCGGAATTAGGAATAGTTCTGCCCACCGGATAAGAGTCTGGGTCATGAGAAAATGATACAGCCGGATTAAGCAAAGCCTGAAAATGAGAAATAACCTCTTGCCTAGCATTAATGCCATTTCTGGAATTTGTACAGATAATATTGCTCAATGCCGCACTATTGAAAGACTTTCTCATACGAATTTTTGAGTATAAGAATTTAAGTTCATCCTCCCCATGTTTGAGCCATTTGGCTTTGGCTCTTTGAGACATCCAAGAAGACCAATAAGAAGTAAGATCTGCTATGTTCCCGTTGATATATTTAAGCATAACATTAAGATTGGGATTCATAGGGTCATTATCCAGAGATGACAGAAGAGCCAGTTGCTTTTCATGAAGACTGTTGAGATCAGATTGAATGTAGTTGGCAGAAGACCATTTTTTTGACTTGATAGCAGCTTTTAGTTTCCTCAGTTTATTAGAAAAATCCATCAGAGAATTCCCTACAATAGGTTCCAGGAAAATATGTAGCATAAGGCCCCAGTATTCCTCAAAGGAAGTCTAGAAATTTTTAAACAGGAATCGGCAAGATGAAGGTTTAGATATATGCCATTTTTAAGAATAATGGGGCTATGATCGGAGCAAAAAGGCTTGTCCACGTAGTAGTAAGAAAGAGGGAAATTCTCAATCCAAGCTTCATTAACAATAGCCCTATCAAGCTTGATATGGATAGCATTCTCAACTTGTTGATTATATCAAGTATAGTAAAGGCCAAAAGAAGAAAGATCAATAAGTTGATTATCAAATAAGAAAGAATTAAAGTCCCCTGTCCTACTATGATGAAGCAAAGAACCACCAGACTTCTCATATTGATATCTACAGCAATTGAAGTCGCCCATAATAATCAAGGGTATATCGGGGGAAGGAGAGTTGGAGTGAAATTGCTGCCAGAGAAGCATCCTATCCTCAACCGAATTAGACCCATAAACAGCACTGAGGAAAAAGGTGTTGGTCGAGCCATAGGAGACAAAGCCACAAATCAATTGGGAGGAGGAGAATGTAGGGACGAAAGAGATCCTGTCTCTAGCCCACTAAATCCAAATCCTACCAGACGTAGAATAATTAAAATTATTGCAGCTCTCTTCCGAATCAAAAACTTTGTGAGTGGTAATGAACCAAGGGTCCGACATAGAATTCACATGAATCCTATTCTCCATGATACATATCAGATCCAACTTATGAGCTTTGATGATTTGCTTACAAGAGTTAACTTTGCTAGGGTTATTGAACCCCCTAATGTTCCAGGATGCTATGAGAGGAAGAGTCATTGAGATTTGGAGGTGGTTGGTTGAGGCTTCTTGTGCTTGCCTCGGGTGTTTTTAGCTGCTGAGGAATAAGAAGGCTGTGACATCTTTGTAGTGTTTTCCTTTGGAGGCTGGGTGACAGCATCTTCCCCATTCATATATTTTTTAAAACATGGTCAATATCCGTAGAGAGAACATCAGATTGCAAATCCAAGAGGGCGTCAAATTTATTTGGAGATACAACATCCTGAGTCTGCTTTTGTGGGACGAATTGGTTGATAGTGGTAATAATAGTATCATCCGTGGGTGAATTCAGGTTGGGGATGATGGCAGTAGTAGGAGATTAGGATGCGAATGTTTGGTCAGCTATATTCTCAGGCTGAGAAGATTTAGGGGAGGAGGAAGAGGATGGAATGTCAACAAAGGATTTGTTAATAGGATCTTTCTTTGGACTGGGTATAGCTTTGCTATTAGGTGGGGGAGGTAAAGCTCTGGCACGACCAGCAGGATTGGAGCTTTTATCCCTGGCAGCATGGGGCGCACGAGATGAGCTTCTCCCTCGAAAATTGGTAGCTTTCTTAGAGTTTTCCTCAGTTTGGTTAATAGGATTGGATGGGCACATGGCAGTGGAGTGGAATAGGGATTCGCAGATCTCACAATGGGAAGGCCTCCATTCATATTGAATCTTAACATTCATGACTTCATCTTCAATAGATATAGGAATAAAATCCGGATATTTGGTCTTGCTGTTAACCTGAACGCAAACTCTAGCGTAGGTCGGTCTAGATTTCTGAGCAGTAAGAGCATCAATAGCCAAGGGGATACCAATTTTACTAGCAATGCGCAAAATACCATCAGAATTCCATACACAAAGCGGGAGGTCCATCAATTTAACCCAGATAGGGACAGTGGTAAAATTTTCTCTAACTGGCTTAAATCGAGGATACCATTTTTGTAGTATGAAAGGGAGACCTAAGAGGAACCAAACTCCTCCATTACTGGCCATTTCGTAATCCATAGGAGAAGAGAACTTGATCAGAAAAAAACCATCACTCAAGTTGAATAGCTGGATAATACCTTGGAGCTTCCAAGTTTTCTGAAGCGCTGTTAAGAGGGATTCACAGTAAGGCCGCCTACCTACCGAGAAGCCCACCAAAGATAGGTTCCATTCTTCTGCAGCAGCATCCGTTTTAGCTTTCTGGAAAATAAGGACCTCATCAGGGTCCTCACGAAGATCAACAGGAAGGTTTTTGGAGGAAAGGAAGTCAGGAGTAATGACATTCGTCCAACTCTGGAGAGGAAGAGGAGCTGGAGGAACAACTGCGCCTGAGAAATGAGAGAGAGGGGGAAAGTTGAGCTCATGGAGAGGGGAACTCATGAAGAGGGGAACCCCTCACAGGGAGGGGAAGAAAAACCGGCGGCAAGGCAAGACGGCGGGAAGGGTAAGCAGAGCAAACCCTAGCATACCCTCTTTTTTTTAGGGTGAAATTCCTATTGATGTTATCAAAAATCTTCATGAGATCAATGTTGTCGCATAAAGACTTCCATAATTCAAAGACCAAGCAATTCTCTCATTTTGAAGAGAAATTATTGTGTGGAGATCAATGCATAATGCCGCCCGGAAACCAATCAGAATGCATCACGTCAGCGGTTCGAGCCGCAATACCGAGCAATATCGACCAGTACCGAGCTATGGTACGGAGCACATGAATGACGTGATCACGTGACACATTCTGATTAATTCATCTGCACACAAAAAGTTCACCATTTTGAATGACGCGCTTATATGGTATTTTACTCTGTTCAGTTCACATGAGCCGAGTCCAAGTCGTCAAGGGACTCGCCGCGTGGGTTGGTTCGGTCCGAACGGCTCCGTCAGCGAAACGTTACGTTTTGACGGTCAGACCGACACAGCTGTTAAATAACAGTCGGTAATCCTCTTCGTTGTCCTGGCCCCCAAGGCCAAACCTAAAAATTACACAAACATCACTAGCTGGGACCAGAGATCCCGAATCTTTTTTTCCTTTTCTTCCTCGCGGTCCCCTCGAAGAGGGATAGGGGGAGAAGGCAAAGGAAGTAAGAACGAGAGGCTAATCTGCCCCTCCCGTTCGAAATCCCGGCGGAGAGAGGTGCAGAATTTTTAATGGCGAGTCTTGTTCTCTCCGAATGCTGCGGACTGCGGCCTCTCCCGGCCTCCATGCGCTTCAGGTCGAAGCCTCGGTTACCTGCAGCACCACATCTGAGCTTCGTCTCGGGTGGAGGCCGACCGATTTTATCCGCCGGATGCCTGCGCGATTGGGCGCTGAGGGTGAGCGCACCGGCGAGGCCGGTTATAGTGGAGCAGAAGGAAGGGGAGGGGGTTATTTGGGCTCTGAAGGAGGAGTTCGATCCCGGGTTGCCGCCGCCCTTCGGGCTGGCGGAGATTCGTGCTGCGATACCGAAGCACTGCTGGGTGAAGAACCCGTGGCGGTCGATGAGCTACGTCGTGCGGGACGTCGCCGTCGTATTTGGACTCGCAGCCACTGCGGTGTACATCAACAGCTGGATTGTTTGGCCGCTCTATTGGGCCGCGCAGGGGACGATGTTCTGGGCTCTCTTTGTGCTTGGCCATGACTGGTATGGCGATGCTTTTCTTCAGATTTTGATTTCTTCCGTTTCCTTTCTCCAACTTGGTTGGATTAGGTTCTATTGGTTGGTTTCTAAGTGAAAAAAGGGAATATTGGCAGTGGACATGGGAGTTTTTCGAACAACCTGAAGCTGAACAGTGTGGTTGGCCATATACTCCATTCATCCATTCTCGTGCCGTATCATGGATGGTGAACCTCTTCTACCAGTCATGTTTATTTTCCTTGTTTCATTTCTTGTTTAACATGTCATAAAAATGGCATTGAATATCTTCAGGAGGATAAGCCACAGAACTCATCACCAGAACCATGGCCATGTGGAGAAAGATGAATCTTGGCACCCTGTTAGTATTCCCCAAACTTTATTAAATTGGAGATGTTTTTATCCTTTTTGTCATTTTGTTTGATGCTTTGTTTCTTTTCTTGTTATTTCTGCAGCTACCGGAGAACATTTACAGGCGCTTGGATTCAATGACAAGGATGCTCAGATTCGCGTTACCATTTCCAATGCTTGCCTTTCCCATCTATCTAGTGAGAAACTTCACCTATCATTGTTCATTTTTCTTTCAAATTATCTCTCTTTACAGGTAATATATATTTATCAATTGATGGCTTTACAGTGGGGGCGTAGTCCAGGAAAGAGTGGATCACATTTCAACCCTGAAAGTGATTTGTTTGTTCCTACTGAAAGGAAAGATGTCATAACTTCCACTGCTTGTTGGATTGCAATGGCTTCTCTGCTGGCTGGATTAACCTGGCTCATGGGTCCTCTCAAAATGTTTCAGCTTTATGCTGTTCCTTATGGGGTAGGTCTTTCTGCTGTTTGTTTATTCTAGTTATTCTTCAAGTGGGGATAATTAATGCTTGGCCATACAAATTTTCTTTTGTCGCTTTTATTGCAGGTATTTGTGATGTGGCTGGACCTTGTGACTTATTTACATCACCATGGACATGAGGAAAAGCTTCCCTGGTACCGGGGAAAGGTAAGGATTCTGTGTCCTGATCATTTCAATGTTGACCAATCAATTCCCATCAGCTTTTTATGATACTCTTATATTTAATTACTTTGAATATTGATCAATTTTTTAGTTAATATTTGTTTTTTCTTGCTTTAAATTGCCAATAGTTTATCTTTGTCTTCTTCATCACTTATTTATGTAAAACTCATTTTTATTCCTCTGAATCATCATCATCATTTGCCTTTATTTTAGGATTCCATTTTTGTTCTTTTTTTATTGGTTGATTTCATTGATTCCATTTAAAGAACCAGGATACAAACCTTAGGTAATTAATAGAATGACAAGCTTTAGAACAGTCTTTCAACCTCATTTGATGTGAATTGTTAGTGCTTTCTATTTAATTGAGCTCAGTATGCTAAATTGTGATGGTTGGCCATGGCATCCAGGAGTGGACTTATCTTCGTGGAGGTTTGACGACACTCGACCGTGATTATGGATGGATCAACAACATCCACCATGACATTGGCACTCATGTGATTCATCACCTTTTTCCACAGATACCTCACTACCATCTTGTGGAAGCTGTAAGTAGTTCTATGGTGAACTTGACCCAATCATTTTTATGTGAGTTCTTCCTTAACATTTGCTTGTGCAACAGACGATGGCTGCCAAACCAGTCCTTGGAAAATACTACAGAGAGCCAGACAAGTCAGGACCTTTACCTTTGCATCTCTTTCATGATCTGTCGAAGAGCTTAAAGCAAGACCACTTTGTTAGTGATTCTGGAGACATTGTGTATTATGAGAAGGATCCTGAATTGTCTTCCTCTTCTCACAAGTCTAAATGAGGCCCTCAAGCTAGATTCCGGAGCCAGTTCATCACACTCTCTCTCAACTTGTAGTCTCATTGATCCCTTCAAGTCTAGATTTGTTATGGCTGTCTTCCCATCACTAAGACTCGTTCGTTTTTCTCTCTTCTCAGCTCTTCTTACAAGCTGAAAGAGATGCTGCAAGCTCAATTTGAAGCTATTGGATAGTGATATTCAATCAAATTATTGGTCATTTTATTCTTAGAAATAAACATGTATTCATGCTGAAGATGCTTTGGGTATGATCATCCAGCTTCCTAGCATGTATTCATCTAATAAAAAGAGTTCCCAAAGAAATAGAAAAGCTACATTATTATTATGCGATTTTTTTCAGGTTTTATTTGGGATGGTTTTCTAAAATAGCTTTTTACTACAAAATTTTCTTTAATTTGAATTTTTTTGTACTAGAAAATCATTTTAAAAATAGTATGAAAGCTATCTGGGATATGAATCCTCAATCATTCTATTAAACTAAAAATGCTTCATATAAATGAATTTTGGCTGAGAATGACTTTATTACAGAACATGTTCTTCAGCTGCTTATTAGCTTCTTTTGCTGCCACAACAATGGGTTTTCTTTTTTCCTACTCGACAAAGACTTTCAACTTCAGACTCCACTGACTGGTAGTACAGTAGTGGCAGATCTTGACATAAGGAAAGTGCGAGGATAATTATTTTGTCTATTGGGTGGTGGTGTTTTCCTTCTCGTGGATGGATTTGGGCCATAAGCTTTAAAATATTTTTTTTTCAGCTGAGAAAAATTTCTATCAGTTGAGAAGAGTAGTGCATAGTCTCACTATAATTTAAATAAAAGTTATATTATATTAGCAATTCAGATGGTAAAGGAGTGATTGGTCGTATGATACAGCTACGTTGAAGCCTTTTCTTCCTCTTTAATGTCAGCTGAACTATTTATTTATTTGATTTTATATTATGGGTGGGGCAGTCTATAGTCTAAAATTTTTTTGATGTGTTGGCAATTTAGGTGATAAATTTATTTAGTAATGCTGTCATAAAGTGAAGCTTTTAAAATTTTATTATAGCATATTCTCTCTCTAGAGACATATAATGTTTATGCGTAGAATGTCTACGCGAGGTTTCACTCTTAGAGATATAATTGTGAAATGAGTATATAAGTGAAAATGTAGGAGTAGTTCTAATGGTAAATAAGATTAGAGAGAGTAGTCTTTGATGGTTTGGACACATAAGACTTAGGCCTTCCAATGGCTCGGTTAGGAGTGTAAATGTATTGGATCCGACCTATGGTAAGAAAGGTAGAGGTAGACCGAAAAAGACTTGGCTAGACAATATTAAAAATGACTTTTTATTGAATTTAAATGAGAATTTGACTCTTAATAAGATACAAAGGAGAAAAATGATTCATATAGTTGACCACAATAGGATAAAAGCTTGATGTGTGCATATTCTCTAGTGTAATGTTTGGGTTGTCTAAGGAGACAACTGAAATTCACCAACACTATTAGAAAAAGCCATTTATAATTAGGTAAATAACCTATTAGTTTCCTTAGCAAAATGATAATGTAGAGATTCATTATAATCGCTAAAGTGATTTAGCCTTTCCAATATTTATAATATTTAGATCATTCGGAAAACATCTTATTTCGAAAATCAAAATTTGACATCAAAGAAGATGAAAAATGTGTTAAAAAGTATGCATTTCCATTTCATTTCTAAAAAAAGATAATTGCAATTATAATATTGTTGGGTGCTAGAACATTCTCAATTGTAGAAAAATAGAGAGTTTAACGTCGTAGTTTTCTATAAAGATCTAGTACAAACGCATATAAGAGAGAGAGAGAGAGAAAGAGAGAGAGAGAGAGAGAGAGAGAGAGAGATCCATGGGTCATAAGAGACAAAAAAAATTACATTGAAGATCCTAAAAAGGGAAATAACCATGAGACCTGGCCTAATTCAATTGATTACACTAGTGTTTGTTATGGGTTACAAAGGATGCCTCTCTGCAAGGGAAGGCATGGACTCAATATTGCAAATGTAAATCATATAGAGCATTTGACATGTTTGAAGTTGGCAGAATTCAATGACAAGAGAGTTGTTCTAAAATGAATAGTAGTTTCATTTGGTCGTAGGACCATAGTAGACCAATGGTTACTGGAGGAATTGTAGTCAAGCAACGGTGGTCGGAGGGACCATAGTCAGGCGAAGGTGGTTCAAGGATCGATGGGCCGTTGTCAGCAGCAGACGAATGTCAAAGGGATTGTGCCAGTGCAACTAATGTCCAATGGTGATAGCCAAGAGGAACTTGTCCTCTTGGCGATGGTGGCCATGCGGCGAGGGATTGTCGGTGGTGGTTCTCAGGTGAAGCTTCAGAATTCTTTAAACTTCAATGCTCTCTTGAATATCTAGACTAAGATCTTAGCCTCTTCCCAAAAGTCCTTTTCAAGTAGGGAGTAAGGGTCTATTTATAGATTTTGAGAGTGACAGACCCATAAATATGGAGAAGATTTGGAGCAAATTCGGTGTGCTCCATCATACAACCCATATTGATTTCCTTGATCCTAAAGCATTTGTTCAATTTTTGTATGCCTAAATGGTGTTAAAATCAAGTGATCTTGGGCTCGTTAGATTCATATAATTGAGCTTCTATATTCAATTATAAGAATGCCATTTTGGAGATCATTTGGTCATAATTTATTAGTTTGAAGCTTTCAAATATGCTTTAGTCCCTTTATTTGCGAGTTGAATGATTTTGGTGTCATTGAGTTCATCCTTCTGAGAAGTTCAGTTTGATTGTAAGTTTACTGAGTTGAGAGTTTAGATAACCCCAAATTTAATTTTGAAAGTTTCTAATTCAAATGTTTTAAGATTCGTGTCTCTTCAAGGCCATTTTAGGTGAGGCCAAAAGGATATATTACAAAAGATAAATACATGAAACAACCAAAGCATCTTGTCTAGGTGAATGACTACTATTTGCTAGAGATAAAGCTCTTATCATCTTCATTGTTAGGCATCTTCTGCCCTTTAAAAATTTTAGAGTTTTTGTAGAACAAGTTTAGATTATGCCACACATAATTTATCACTTTAAATGACAAAAGCATAAAAAAAAAAAGTTATGTCTTCATTAAAGTTTCTCATAATGACATTATTGTATTCAACAACCATCCCCCCCACAACAATAGTTTTACTTCGAACTTTTAGAATTTTTTATTCTTAGAACCTTGAATAACATCTTTCTATCTATCTCTTCTTCATAGAAGTTCATGTCCTTGGCGAATTTTCTTTTAAAAACTTCAATATTACTCTTGGACACCTGCTAAACTAAAAGTGACTACTTCAAAGCTAATTTGTTCACCTTTGCATGCTGCTTTAATATGTTATTAATTGAATCATTCTCTAAAACAAGCGACTAATGTGAATTTGCCAGATGAAATATACTTTGCCAAGAAGATACAAAAAACCTCATAAATGACTTGAAGTTGTTATGAAGGCTTATTTTCCAAGTGTTCATATAGGAATTTGAAGAATATTATAGGTGCCCGAATGAAAACTATTCTTTGGAAGCAGCAAGTCAACATCCGTATCCACAACTATTTATCCTTCTTCATCCCAATTAATTATTTTGAACTCCCATCTTTATTTTTATAACTTGCATTGAACTCCTTATAAGAATGAGAAGTCATCATTGATTTAGGGATTAGGGATGTCGCTCTCGTCTGCTAGGGTTCACCCAGGCATCACCTAGCGTAGACCTTGCTTCGCTTCGGTTGCTGTTTTTTGCTCATCGGCACTCATTTCTGCTCTTCTTTTTTCCTTATGTTTGTCATTTTATTTTCTCCGGCTCAGTTTTGCTTGTTCTAGCATTGCCCATTGTTTATTTCGTCCCCCTTCATGGCGGCTGTTGGTTTAATGATCTTTTTTGAAAGAAAATCCAACTCTTGATCCTTTACTGATGCTCTTTCAGGGTCTGTCTCTCCCTTTGCAGACCTTAAATCATCTTCTTTTCGTGGCTTACCATCACTTTGGATTTCGAAGGAAGAGGTCTTGGCTCTTGCTACACATTTTTCCTTCTCTCTTGTTGGTTATTTCCCTAATCACATGCCCTCTTAGAAAGTTATTAGAAAGTTTTTCTTTAACCTTAAATTAACCGATGTGTTTTCTGTCACATTGTTTGATGCTCGTTATTTTTTGATCAAATTGAGTTGAAATTTGAATTATTGTCATATTTTAACCCATTGTTTTTATTTTGTGAGTAATTGCTATATGAAATTAACTAAGTGGTCTCCATTTGTGGACATTTCAGAGGAATCCCCCTTGGTTCCTGTTTGGAACTCCTTCCCGAACCTCCGACCTCATTTATTTGCTCCTCGTATCTTACAAGGTCTTGGCACTCTTTTTGGACGCCGCTTTATACTGATACTACCACCGCTATAGGTTCTCGCCCGTCTATTGCTAGTGTTTTTAGTGGAGCTCGACATACAAAGCGGTATCCTGATAAGGTTTGGTTGGGCATGAAAAATTTGGATTATATTCGAAGTGTTGTGATGGATGAATTTCCATCCTTTTGTGAGCATTGTAAATCTATAAATCACTCTAAAAATGATTGTGTTAGCCTCCATCCTCATTTAGCCAAGGATCTTACTCCTCGGGTTAATGGGAAAATTGATAGGATTGATTTGGTGGCTGTTGGTCACAAAGATAATTGTCTTGTGAATAATGCTGCTTCTGTTGGGCATGTGATGCCCAATTCTTTGGTTCCTATGAACTCATTACACCTTACTATTATTGTTTCAAACTCGGTTAAAGTTATTAGTGATATTGGTGTTGAGGTGGGGGTGGATTTAGCAGAACCTATTCTTATTCATTCTTCTTGTCATTGTGCTCTTTCCTATTTTGAGGCTTCTCCAGTGCATGTGGAGGGTGAGAGTTTTGTTAATGAGGAGGTTAATCATTTGGCTGCTATTCCTATTGTGCTATTCATTCTCTTGTTGGTAGTGATTAGGATAATTTCCATGTGAACACAGTAGTTTTTGATGGATCTTCTAGTGGAACTAATGTTGAATCTCCCTTTCTTTCTGCGGAACTTGCTTTGTCTCCGACTATGCAACAGAAAGGGAGCGTGCCTTTGGTTGATGTTTCAGTTTCTCTTATTATAAATGATGAGTTAAAAGCTCACTTATTGTTGAATACGAATGATAGCTTCTTGGACCACTCTGATTGGCTGGACGGGTGTGTCTCCTCGCATTGCGGGGGTGTTGGGGAAGATCTGGATGATTTGATGGATGAGTTTCTTGCATTGTATAGCCTGAAGGTTGATCAGTTGGTGGGTGGCACTTCCTCTCATGGAA